TGCCCTTTACCCAGCCTTCCCGGGTGAACTCATCTTGAAACCCTGTGTTGTGGCCTCATCAGGTGCTGGCAGCAACACAGTCAGGGTGCAGAAGGGCTCTGGTGTTGAGCAGCTGGCCAGTCTCCCTTTCTTTTCACCTCTGTCTCTCCCAGTCCTGGCACATCCTTCACCCCTGACAGCCTTGGAGTTGTCTTCTGTGTCTGTGACCTGGTCATCTGACCAGTGTTGCTTCAGTGGACTCAGGTGGTATGTTTCCTTTCAGAGAGTTTCAGCATGAGACTCTGGTGACCCCTCCAAGCTGTTGTATGTCAGCAGTGTATTTTCTCTTTGTTAAGTGGTATCCTGGTCCATGGATGTACCAATCTCATGCCTTGACCATTGACCCACTCATCTTAGTTCAGGAATCCTTATGGCAAAGTACATTGAACACATTCCCTGCGACTGTATTCTCTTTGAGCATAATGCCCTCGAGTCTTGCCTTTTTCTTTTAGGATTGTTTGTTTTTGTTCTATGTTGAGTTTTGAGAATACCTTATACATTCAAAACAGAAGAACTTTGCTGAAAGTGGAGATTATATGGGCATTGATAATTGAACCCTAGGGCACATTACAAATGATTTACATCCCCAGTATTTTTTATTTTTATTTTTAAGATAAGGTCTCAGGAATTTGTGGAGGCTGGCCTTGAATTGAGTCTTAGGCCATCCTCCCACATTTTTGGAATGGCAGGCATGGCCACCACATGCAGTTTGCATGTTCATTCAGTCTTTAACTTATATTTTTATCCACTGAATCAGGGCTTTCACTGAACAGAAGTTTATTAATTTATTCATCTTTCCTTTTCTAGGTTTCATTCCATTGTCAAATGTGGGAATGTTTTGCTTAACTATAGGTTCTAAAGATTTCCCCCTTTACTTTAGTTTTGTTTTCATAAATGTCATGGTTTGGGTCTAGAATGTCCCCCAAAGCTCAAGTGGCAGTGCTGAAGTTTTAAGAGGTGAAAAGTCTGGATTACAAGGGCCTTGACTTCCATCAGTGGGTTAAAGATTCTAATAGATTAATAATTTGAATGGAGCAGTTTGGTTTATAGCTCATAGTAGAACACCTGCACAGTATGTGTGAAATCTTGGTTTCCATCTCCAGTACCAACAATAAAACAAATTAATGACTTGAGTGGAAGTATTGGGAGGTGTTGAAAAAGAGAAGCACATCAGGTTGTCTGTAGAAAGTGGGTCCCAGGGTGTGGCCTGGAGGATTGTAAGGTCCCTTACTGTCTATCTATCTTTCTCTATGCCTGCTTTCTGGAGGCCAAGAGCTGAGCACCTTTCCTCTTTCATGCCCATTCACCAGGAGGTTTCTGAAGTAGAGTTGGCTGACCACACTCTGCCACCATGAGTCAAAATAAACTTTTGCTCCTCAGAGTTGCCCTCCTCAGGTCTTTTGGTCACAGTGACGAGGGGCTGACCAACACCTTGTGCATCTGTGTTGTGTTTTCTCTCAGGTCCATGGCCCACTTTAATAGTTGTATAAGGATCGTGACTTAGCTCATTTCCTTTTTGCTAGTGGATGATACCTGTTGCCCCTGATACCCATTGTGGACCAAGCTGCCTTTCCTTCACTGAATTGCTCTCTTGGCTTTGTGCAAAGTTGTCTGGCACATTTCTATGGCTCTCCTGGTGCTCTTTTTCAGACTATTGACCCTGTGTCTCTACCTCTGTCATTGGTTATAGTTGGTCTTTATGCCTGTGAAGATGGGATGAGTCTAGAAGTCTGGTGGACCAACTCCTCAGCTTATTTTTGTTTTTAAACTGTTTTAGCTGTTGTCATTCTTGTGCTTTATCAATACAAAGTTGGCAGTGATGTTGTTTTTGTCGAAAAAGTCTTGATGTGATTTTGATAGGGATTTCTTTGCTCCATCTTTCCTGGTCCTAAGATTTTTCCTACATCAAATGGTGTTGTGTCTTTTGCCTTAATCATCAAACCAGAGTTATAAGACCTGTGGAGAGGAGTGCCTGTTATGTCAACACACACTTCTGTTTGTTAGGTGCTTTCTTCCTGCTAGTCCCTCCTCTCATAAGTACTTTCTGGACAGAAACTTCTTCTGACTCTTCCATGGGGCAGGTTTGCTGGTGACAAGTCATCTGTTTGCCCTCACTGGAAAATGTCTCCCTTGTCTCTTTATTCTGAAGAGTATTGCCAATGGATGGGGAATTATGAGAGCTCTTATCTTTTTGAAATCGAAAAATGTTTGCCAGTTTCCTTTGTTATTCATCACTGTGATGAAAAATTCATTGTCATTCAAAGGAGTGGTAGTGTAGAAAATAGTTTTCCTGTGAAGAGGACTAGAAAAATTGGGCCATATCTGGGGAGGACCATTCCATCATGTCAAGCCACTGTTGTTTTTTTCTAGGATAGGAGAGGTTTGGTGCCATAAGAAGACTGCAGGTTCCACACTCCCTAGCCTTAACTTAGAGACCCAGGAGAAATATTGAAGCACTTGGCATGGTGGATGGTGACCATGACTGGAATCTCAACAGTTCAGAAGGCAGGAGGAATA